CACATGTACTATCACAAGCTCAGCAGAAGGTTCAAGAGTTGTGCTTATACTGTCATATTATCAAACTTCAACCGGTTCACAATGGTCGTGAATTAATTACATGAACTGAATATCTCTTTAGTGTGTATCTACTATTTTATCGAATACCATATAGGTCTTGGTACTTATATTAAATGAAAGTTTCCGACGTTGTGTAATAAAACCAAATAAGAGATCATTTCATCATAAAACACTATATCAATGCAAATGTAACAATATTGCTTGATATACCTTTTGGAATATATCCAAAATATATATAATATAATAGTTTGGAAAAATGCTGTTTGTAGTAATAATGAAAACAATTTTCTTAACTGTTCAACTCATTGTAATCCCGGAAATAGTAACTCTAAGTCACTGAATGAACTTCAAATTATAAAACTTGAAAAAATTTAAAATTTCATGTTAATTTGTTGAATTTGCTTATTCAGCATAAAAATAAAATAATATTTAAATGAAATTTTTATGATCACATTTATTCGACAAGATGAAAAAAGCTATTAAAGCGCAAATACAAATGTCACTGTCATGCAAACATTAACATTTTTGAATAAATATAATTATAATGTAAAATGTAATGAAGTCATTGCAGTATAAATTCATATATATTTTAATAGAACATACTGACGGTTTTAGAGAGGAAAGTCTTCACCATGTTATTTTACATACTGAACTAATTTGAATATAATTTCAAAATATTCTTAAACATATTTTTTTAAAAAGAAATGTATTTTTTCTTAAATAAGTTTCAGATATTTGTACTTTATGTTAATTTATTGCCTCTTTAAGTTTCTTCATTTGTTACTCATACGCCTCCGACAATAAATTTATTGTGTGAACTTCATTATTTTACCATAAAATTTCTGTTAATTTTCTTCACTGGTATGTGCTTTGTTTTGTTATAAAATCTTGATTAAAATTAAAATCATTTTATTATTCAGTATTCTTCAAAGTTGCATTTAAATGTCCAATACAGTTTGAAGCTTGAATTCAGCAATTATTGCGCTTGTAATTCTGGAGGTCATAAAGAATTAACTGCCATTTGCCATTCGTATAAAATTAACATTAAAGGAGCAAACGCTTTAATTGTGAGCACAGCTGCTCATTTAGAAGGATAACATCGCTGTTAATGGGAATTTAATTTTTATCCTAATTTTTATGTGATTTTTGTGGTAAAATAATTCTGTTGATGGTTGTATGGATTTTAAAATTAAGTGGATATAAAAAATTTTAGAATGCTTAATGAATACGTATTCATAACATAAAATTTATATTAAAACGAATTGTTCTGGAAATGGTCAAATTAATTATAGCATTAATTGTTGTTGCCTAAAAACATTAAATTAGTTCAATTAATATTTCTTTTATTAATTCTTTAAAAGCGTAAAGCTTTGGATCTCAAATTGCGAAACTTATTTTGGTTCCTCAACAGAAATTCTAATCTGTCACTCAACAATAAGCTGTTTATATACAAAACTGTACTAAAACCTATATGGAGTTATGGAGCCCCATTATGGGGTAATGCAGCAGACTCAAACCTGGAAATTATCTAGCGTTTTCAATCTAAAATACTATGAATGACCACAAATGCACTTTGGTATATAACGAATGAACAGCTGCATAAACAACTAAGTGTTCCGACAATCAATGGAGAAATATCTCGTATTATAAAGAATTACGCTTATCGAGAGACGTTTTAGATATGTATATGTAGGTCACACACTTCTATTTTAAGTATATTTGGATATGTCACTGGGCATAGTCCTGTGATTGTAATAACTATTATTACGATTCATATTAATATATATTAATTATTGTCATTCATACCTGATAGATTGTAATAAAACAAATGGATTAAAAAAATACTTTAAACAAAAAATTGATTTGTGAACATTTTATAAACATTTTTAAATTTTCAGACTAAAATCAATTCAAATCGTATTTTTTCCATACGAAACAAAAACGTCATCCTCAACTTTTTCTTATTTCCATACTTTCTTTTTTATCTTTTTTGAGCTTTCATCAAATTACATTTTGATAAAAAGTTCTCTATAAGGTAGATAAGGCAAAAATTCAAGAGGCAAAATTTTTTTAAAAATTGTTTTTCTTTGGGTATGGACACACTTTAAGTTTTCAAAAGGATAATGCGAAACGGCTATAATGTAGTGTAGTCTTATCATCGTTGAAATTACTTTTTTTATACTCCGGTATGTCATTGAAATGTCCAATGAACAATACGTTTTTATTCAAGTAACAACACTGAGTGAAATTGTCACTAATTCTTAATGATGTACTTACACAATGCAAACATTTTAATTAAAAAAATTATTTGCAACATTTTTAAAAATATATTTTTTCATAAATTATGATAAAGGCTGATTTTTCTATTATTAAGAATCTAAATAAGACCAACATGCATTAATTTTAGAACTGTATTTTTCTGAAAGATTTTTTTGCCTGCATAATTAAGAAGAGCAACAGAAAAAGATAAAAATCCTTTCGCAGACAATTTAGTTGTAAATATTTAACCGCAATTTAAACTGCTGACTTTCCATAAATAATTCAAAGACAGTAGCGGTTCAAACTATATATAATTAAATAAATTATATAAAACTATAAAAAAAGACATATTGTATAAATAATTTTGTTTCTGCCAATAGTGGTAGACATGCATTTTACTTTATTTTACAATTTTTGCAGTGGATGCGGTTGTCTAGCATCTATGATAATTTAGAAGCATTGGTTGTCATTTGCTATCATTTGACAAATGTTATAACTATTCTGTAATATTATCTTAAAGTATTGTTTATTAATCGTTAATAATATAAAGATTTTTATTTTAAATCATTCGTTTTGAATAAAAACAATTATTTTACAGATTTTTAATATGTTCCCATATGTATTCATATTAATAATACATTTAATCAAATGGTTACAATCAGAATAGTTAAAGGCTCCTCGGGGAGGTAGGCAGATCGGAAGTCAATTATTGCTTAGTCTGACAAAGTGATAAACAATAATCCAGTCAAGGCGTAAAAAGCGGTTTTGAAAATACTTTGAGTTAGAAATAGTAAAAGTGCTCAAGTGCACTGCCTCAAATAGCTTCACATAATAATAATAATTTAATATTTATTCATATTTATATTATATATAATATTATAAAATTTATAATATTTATAATTGTATTTAATAATAATTCTTGCTAAGAACGTGTTTATGGTGTTGAATATCTAATATTAGTATAGTTTATCTAAAAGTTAAAAAATGATTTAATAAGACTAAGATGCACAAATATTTAAAGTGATTTTCTTAAAAAGAAAATGTATTCATATACATAGATAGATAAATAAGTATCTACATAAGTAGAACAAATAAATTTTTCTCTTGATTATAAACATTCTTAAGTGCACACATTGTATATTTTAAAAATTTATTTAATTACTTCTTGACTGTCTGAGATAAATACTAATTAAGTTAATATGTTTTAAATTATTAAAGAATGACTCAAAATCTTTTAATAAATATTAGAAATTACTAAAAATTACTGAAATATATAATTAAGAATTAATTTTTTCTATACACATATTTACTAATTACTGATAACAAAATTAGATATAATAATGCAAAATATATTTTTATTTTTATAATTCCAAAACTGCACTGTTTTAATTGATTTAATGAGCGAATATTCTCAGTTGAAAATTCATATGAATATTCCTCTATAGATTACGCTTTAAGTATTTGTCGCTTTTATGTGTCTATGTTATGGTTCATCCTTATGAACTAATGTTTTCTGGTAAGTGGAAGATTGAAGTCTTTTTTAATTTTTTTTCATATTTAGTCGGCTTTAGCTAGGGATTAAGTGCACATATGTAAATAGTCATGTGTGTCACCATATATTAAACAAGTGAACATTCCATACAGCACCATATACGAGTGCACACAGATACATACACATACACATAGATATATTTTATTTGCATCCATTCATATTTGAGACTATCATTTGCATCTTTTGATTGTGCTGACGGTGCATTGATAAAGCAGATGCTGGCGTTAAGGCGTTGGTTTTTATGTCACCAGGACAAAGCCGTTCGACTATATACTTTATCATTTTGAAAAGTGAAAAGAAGTATGGCATAATATACGCTAAATTTTTACTTATAAAAAAAATTATAGAAAATTTTTTAAATAGCAATATTTTTTGTAATTTTTTGCATCAGTAGTATTTTAATATTTTTTTATTAATAAATTTAATGAAGTCGCATTTCTGTACTTTTGAATATTTAATGTTTTACTAAA